AAAAAAAAAAAAAAAAAAAAAAAAAAAAGAGAATATATCATATGATAATAATCTGAAAAAACAAAAAAGAGAGAAAAATATGATCTTTTCTTGTTTTCTACAGCTGCAAGCATTAAAACTGTAAGGTCATATCGAAATTTCGTGGCGGCACAGGCGGCGGAGATGGGCGGCGGAGAGGGCGGCGCGTCGTGGAAGCTGAAGAAAGCCGCCAAGAAAATATTTGGCCTTCGGACATGTGCCTCTTTGTGCAACACACACAGCCAAGCTCTTGTTATCCACAAATCCCCTGTAAATCTCTGTCTCTTTTACTCTGTTTTTTCTTTTTTTTCCAATACATTTTCTGCATTCTTTTTATCCCATTTACTGATTTATTTTGCTTAAACATTTTCATCGAAAATCAGATATCTTGTTCCATAAATTCTTGCGAGAACACTAAAGTCTCATCAGAAAATGCAGTGCAAGGCAATTCTAGTAGCAGCCCTTGTTCAAATAAGGTATCTTTTCTTGTTTTCTCTACAACCACTTTTATAATGTAGTGATGATCATTGAATCCTTGCCTTTTTTTTGCAGAACTTATGCACGATATGCCTCGACCCGTTAACCAGAGGTCGGGCGATCTTCACGGCCCAATGCACGCACGCCTTCCATTTCTCGTGCATCGCCTCCAACATCAGCCACGGCAGCCTGACCTGCCCCATTTGCCGGGCCCATTGGACCCAACTGCCCAAGACCCCACGAACCCACTGCCCTGTCCACAGCTCGGCTGCCCGGGTTCCCGTCCCGCAAATCGGGAATTTCCGGCGCCCGGTCGAGCCGGGCCCCGCCGCCACCGCTTCCCGATCCCGTCTCTCTTTCTCTCTCCTCAACCACTCGAGCAACGGCTTTTGCTACCTCCGAGTAAAGTTGGATCATCGACCGGCAACCGACTTGGTATTAGTTGTCGATGACTGCACGGCCGAGCCACACCATCTAAGCCTCGTGAAGCGCGCCATGGCGGCCGTGATCTCCTCTCTGGGGCCCACCGACCGCCTGGCGATAGCCACGCGTGGGGGAGTTTCCACCCTGAGGAGCATGACGCCGTGCGGAAAAAGAATCGCATTGAGAATAGTCGACCGACTCTCGTGCATGACTGGGCCCGCGGACGAGAGGCTTGTTGAGGAGGTGCTTGGGGACCGTTACCATAAGAATCCCCGATCGTGCGTTGTTCGCCTGACGTGGGGCCAATCGGGACCTCACGAGCAGCTCGTTTCAGAAGATTCGTCTGTGGTGCAACGGTTAGGGTTCGGGCTCGGCGCTTGTGGCGAGTCGTCAACTGCGGTTTTGCACGAGTTCGAAGGGTTTCTGGCGAGGACGATCGGTGGTCTGGCAGAGGATATTCGACTGAGGATCGGGCAACGTGCGACGATCGTGAGGATAGGAGAGATGAAGGGCGGGGAGGAGAGAAATATTCAAGTGTGTCTCGACAAGTGTGGACGAATGCGCGTGGAGTATAGTTACGGTGAGGGCTCGTGCGTTAAGACGGGCGATGTTGTCGTTGGCATTGAAGGAGATAAATGGTATGGCGATTGTGATGGTGTGGTGGTGGATAGAAGCTCAGGAAACTATGGAAATTGGAATTTTCATGATGATGATGATGAATTTACACCAAGGAGATTGTCTAGGCATTTGCATGGGATGTGGCCATGAAGAGGAAAATGTGATTTCTACTTCATTGAATTCAATTCATAGCTAATTTTGCTTTCTTCTTTTTCAACTTTGGATCAAGATATTGTCCCCAAATTGCTAGCCATGTAATTTGTTTCTTCTTACAGATTTGTCGTTTGTCATCTTTAATGGAACTTCAAGCTTCAAGGTAGGGATAGGAAAAAAAAAA